TGTAGTTGTCTTTTAGACATCGGAAGCAAATCATCTTTAATTTTATAAATGAAAATTAATGCATTTCGTAAAAAGATACTTTTAATTGGCGTCCAACTCAAAGTTTCAAGCATCAGATTAATGCAAGTATAATTTGAACAAGATAATATTATTAGCCATTTCCTATTCTGCTGCTTCTGCAGTCTATTCAACTCATTTTTATTTTATAACAAGATTATTATAGATCAATAATTAAAGTGAGATAGAATAATAGTGTTATATACAGGGTGGTCCTTAAGTAATTGTACACATAAATATGTGTGTAAGTGAGCAAACGAGAACGCATCGTATATTTAGTATCTATTGTGTCCCCTTCTGTCGTTAATGCAGCAAGGAAATGTCTCAATGCCTATAACGGCCCTTCCAATTCTATCTTCTCAAGGAAGTATAGGATTTAGAATGGCTTCAAGTTAGGTAAATCTTCCTCTTCTATTTGATATGCTCCTAGGTATAGTGTCCTTGGATTCTGGAGCGCTACACAAAATTAGGAGATGACTGAGTTCCATCAAAAAATGGGCTCTTATGCAATGATATAAAGTACCTAACTTTTAGAAGACCATGTGAATTTATTTGGATTTGATGAATATCATGTTAGCAGAAATTATATTTCTGTTGATATGACATCCATATTATTAAAAAATCACCATGCGTTACCGTTTTCGATGATGGTGGGTGCGATTTTCCGGGTTTTCCTCACCTGTAAGCCAAATGGCACCATCAATCATCTTTAAGTCGCTCCGGAGCGCCACGGCAAAATATAATAATAGCCGTCCTTTTTTCCGGACAAACTTAGCTTTTGATGTCCAAATTCACTCGTAAGGGGGTGAGTTAGGGAGTATTATTATTATTATTATTATTATTATTATTATTATTATTATTATTATTATTATTATTATTATTATTATTATTATTATTATTATTATTATTATTATTATTATTATTATTATTATTATTATTATTATTATTTTCGTGATCTCAGCACATGCTGGTATAATTTTTCGCTATACAAAATGTATGAGCTCGGACAACCTAGCAGGGAAACAATTCAGTTTAACCCACTTAGGTACCGTTTAAGAACCTGCGAACGATGTGGCAGGTTTGCAAAATGACTGCTTTCTGTGCATATGTCACTATGTTTTTTGATAATCCTATATCTTGGAGATTTTTACTGAAGTGTTTCGATATAATTCCCTCCGCTGACATTACCAGTGGGACTATGGAGACTTCGTCTAGTTTCCAGATGTTCTTTAATTCATATGACAGATTTTCATATTTCCTGATCTTCTCGGTCTCGGTTTTAGTGACGTTGTATGACAGTGGTACAGCTATATCGATGATCAATCCTGTTTTCTTTTGTTTATCGATAATGACGATGTCTGGTCTATTGTGGTCGACTGTCCTGTCCGTTGTTATTGGCCTATCCCAGTACAGCACCGTTTCTGTTGATTCCAGAACAGCTGCGGGCTGATATTTATAGTAAGGTGGGCATGAGCTCAGGAGACCGTTGTTTAAAGCAAGTTGTTGGTGGATGATCTTGGCAACTTGGTTGTGACGTCCTAGGTATGCGTTGTCTGCTAGGTACCGACATCCTGCTATTATGTGTTCGATAGTTTCACCCACTGATCCGCATTTTCTGCATCTGTCTTCGACCTCTAGTTTTAGGCAGTGTTTCTCATAATTTCGTGTTCTCATAACTCTGTCCTGAATAGCCATTATGAATCCTTCTGTTTCCGGATATAGATAACAAGCGTCAAGCCAAGCCAATGATGGTGCCTTATCGATGTTATCTAACTCCAGACTCTTTGGAAATTTTCCGTGCAGAGCTCGTTCCGCCCATGTTTCTTGATCTTCTTGTCTTGTGCTTATATCAAACAAAAGATGATGGTGCTGTAAGTTAAGAGGTGTATACCCTCGATCTTCTTGGGTAGCTAACCTCATTAGACTATCTTCCGACTCAAGCAATCGCTGTCTTAGTTTTACCTCCTGTGTCCTGCATAGTTTATAAATGTTAACCATTCCTCGGCCACCGTTCTTTCGGGGGAGATATATTCTCTTGACCGATGCATTAGGGTGTAGACATCGGAATTTGGTCATTAGACGTCGGGTTAGGCGATCAAGCTCATTTAGATCAGCATCGGACCATTTCAGGATGCCAAATGTGTACGTCAAGACAGGTACTGCCCATGAATTTAGAGCGACAATCTGATTCTTCGCTGACAGCTTTGTATTTAAAATTTTTAGTACTCTCTTTTTGTATTTTTCCGTGAATACTTTTTTAAGTTGCGTGTGGTCTATACGCTGGTTTTGTGGTGTTCCCAAGTACTTATAAGTTTCATCTGGAGGTAGATTTTCAATATTATTGAATGGCGTTTCTTGGTTTTCTACTTTGCCCTTTTTAATGTTAATGATGGCACATTTATCAAGCCCAAAGGACATGCCTATGTCATTACTGAATGTAGATACTGTGTTAATAAGGGATTGTAGACCATTCTCATTTTCAGAGAAGAGTTTAAGGTCGTCCATATATAAAAGATGAGATAATTTTCGCCTATTTTTCAAATTGAGTCTATACCCGATATTTGTTTTATTCAGGAGAGTAGATATAGGGTTCAATGCTAGGCAGAACCATACAGGCGATAGGGAGTCTCCTTGGAATATCCCTCTTGATATTCGTACATTACCAGCGTTCTTGTTATTCATCAAAATATTAGTTCTCCAGGTACCCATGAGATGTTCGAGCACCACCCTTATTTTGGGGCATATTTTGTAGATTTCCAGCACTTTTACAAGCCAGTCGTGAGGAACCGAGTCAAAGGCCTTACGGTAGTCTATATAGCAGATGTTAAGATTCCTTTTTTTAATCTGAACTTGTTTAACAGCCACTGCGTCAATGGAAAGTTGATGTTTGCATCCGGCTGAATTTCTAATACACCCTTTTTGCTCTTCTTGCAATATATTGTTTGCGGTACAGTGCTATTATTATTATTATTATTATTATTATTATTATTATTATTATTATTATTATTATTATTATTATTATTATTATTATTATTATTATTATTATTATTATTATTATTATTATTATTATTATTATTATTATTATTATTATTATTATTATTATTATTATTATTATTATTATTATTATTATTATTATTATTATTATTATTATTATTATTATTATTATTATTATTATTATTATTATTATTATTATTATTATTATTATTATTATTATTATTATTATTATTATTATTATTATTATTATTATTATTATTATTATTATTATTATTATTATTATTATTATTATTATTATTATTATTATTATTATTATTATTATTATTATTATTATTATTATTATTATTATTATTATTATTATTATTATTATTATTATTATTATTATTATTATTATTATTATTATTAAACAGATCTTAGATTGCAGTTGCCCGTCTAGAAAAATCATTGTACATTGTACCAGAAGATATTTCAAAAGTATAAAATTTTTATTATATATTTTATTTGAACAAGGATAATTTCTTGACCATAGGATAATTTTAAATGAATTATTGTTTTATTTTGTAGATTGTCCTTAATGAATTTGAAGTTATAGAAATATGCCCCATCTATAAATGCTAGAGGTAATGATAAATAGTGTCAGACTGATGGAGCGATGAGGATTTTACTCAAATTGAAACTAAACTTATATTACAGTTTTTGTTATATAAACAAATATGGAATAGTCGGACCACGTTATGTAAATTATTAAGTACATTTTTGGTTGCCTCATTTTTCATTTAAAAAATTAATGGAATATGTTTAAAATTGGCTTTTTTTCGTCACAAAAAAATGCCAACACTATATAAACGTAAAGGGACCACAGGACAAGGGGATTGGTCGGAGGATGTTCTGAAAAATGCTGTAAAAAATATAGAGGAGAAGAAAATGGGTACAAATGCTGCTGCCAAAGCATTTGGAATTCCAAAAACCACGTTAAAAAGGCGTCTTAAATCTAAAAAAATTTCTAAGGGCTCCTTAGGTAAATGTTGGCACTGATAATGGGAAAAAAATGTTAGATCAGATTCGACGGAATAGCGGAAATTTTTAGGGACAGCAGATATCGAGATGCGGTTTTCTGCATTGTGTTCAGGAAGGTAACAGGAAAAAAGTCTATATTGTTTGGTTTAGCCATTTTTTAAAAAATGCCTTCTGGGCCGGAAAATGCATTTCCAATTGCATCATTACTTGAAAACTAGGAAAAATCGCTCGGAAATCGTTACTCTGGAAGTTTTCAGGGCTGCCAAACTCGATTCTGGCATTAGAATTATCCGGGAGTGCACGGGGATGGTTCTTTGGGGATGGGCGGGGGAGAATTGGAGGAGAAATGGCAGCGTGCATGAAAATCGCTCCAAACTCGTTACTCGGGGGTTTCCGGGGATGACGATTTCAATTCTGGCATTGGAATTACCCGAGGGCGCTCGAAAGCGGCTCTACAGGGGTATCCGGGGAGTCATTCTGGGGGGGGGGGAAATTGCGTAGTCCATGGGAAGCGCTCCAAACTCGTTACTCGGGGATTTTTGGGGATGCCGAATTCAATTGTGGCATTAGATTTCCCTGGGGGCACGGCGGTGGCTCAGTGGGGGTGCGCGGGTAGAGAATTGGGAGAGAAATGGCAGCGTGCATGAAAATCACTTCAAACTCGTTAATCGGGTGTTTTCGGGGATGCTGAATTCAATCCTGGCATTATAATTACCCGGGGGTATGAATAATAAAGTTTATTATTTAATAAATAAATATTACACATATTATAAAAACAATTGCTTTGGAAGTCTTTTGTGCCTCGAAAGTGGATTTGAAAAAGGCGCCAAAGCTATAAAGAGAGTAGAGTATCGTTACAAAGGGGACCGGCGCGAACAGAAATATTCTATATCAACTGAAGAGAAAAAATATGGGTCTATTTCCAAGTACAGGCTTGGTATGGTTCACAAGGTCAAGACGAGACCTTTGATCCGTTGGAATGGGCTTGGGAATTGGTGGATGGAGAGCTCAGTCCTCTCACCATGACACAGGAAGCCGATCCCGAGGAAATTTTAAACAAAATTTCTTGTTCTTGTGAAACCAATTGTGGCACGAGGTGCGGGTGCCACCGAAGTGGGTTGGAGTGCTCACTTGCATACAAGCATTGTGATGGCAATTGCTCAAACCAAAAAGGCACTTCTAGTGACGAGGAAGAAGATGAAGAAGGGGAAGGAGATGAAGAAGGGAAAGAAGAAGAAGAAGAGTTTGAACAAGATGTTTAGTATTTAAAATAAAAATCTAAGTTGACAATGAATGATTTAATATTATTAAAAACTCCTATTTGTTATTTGAATAAAGTATTATTTTTAAAATTTGTGATTTTTCACTTTCTCCTTTATTATTTCCCACAAAGCCACCTCCAAACGCCCCGGGGAAATCTAATGCCAAAATTGAATTCGGCAGCCCCGAAAACCCCCGAGTAACGATTTCCGAGTTTCCAGTCGTTCCTCTAATGGTGCAAGTAATAATGCAATTGGAAAATTCATTTTCCGGCCCAGAAGACATTTTTCAAAAAATGGCTAAACCAGACGATATAGACTTTTTTCCTGGGACCTTCCTGAACACAATGCAGAAAACCATATCTCGATATCTGCTGTCCCTAAAAATTTCCGCTATTTTTCCTAACTTCCCTGGACCAATAAATAAATTAAATTTTGAAACGTTTCCGTTGCATCAATTTTGAAACATGTAGCTTTAAAAAAAGTGGTTCATCTATCCCGGATTTACCCTATGTGAAACCATTTTAAAATACCCAAACCTTAAGTAATCGTATATCGTGTACCTCCAAAATTAAAGAATATCGTGCTTTTAGAATGGAATTATTGTTTTTATTTAATTGCTAAAATCATTTCTAATTCATGTCTAATATTTGTCGTCCACCTTCAAACAACTAAAAATAAACAATAATATAAAAAGCAACGGCTATGTTTCGATGTCCATCAAAATATATTTGAATTGACCGTCTTTATTAATAAAATTCGTAAATTTCTTGATGCAGAAACGAACTGAACATATTGCATTAAATGATAATTTATTGAAGTGTGCTGTGCTAATCTTAATATGTTCGTTAAATAGTTTTGTGTCATTTTAAATTATTTCAAATCAAAATATTGACATTTTGTTGAGATATTTCTACATGTTCCGTGCGTGGGCAGATAATATTTTTTAAATTTTAAATAAACCTAATAAAGACATTAAAGTCAATGTTCTGAAGATTTTTTGAATACATTTTGAATTGCAGGCGCCGTAAATATTTTGCTCCATATGCAGAATCTCTATATCTTATAGCAGCTTTTATATTTTCATTCCACCATTTTTCCTATTTAGGAAATATTTTTATTTGTTTCGTTGGCGCTACATGATCTTATACCAGAAGAATCTAATTTGTTACGTCACAGTATTACCATTATACTAAACTTTTTTCCCGACCGAATAATTAATATTGGTTACTAATGAGGCATTCTAGCCAACTGCACATTAATTGTATTCTTGGCAGTCATTTAAAAGCAAGACTTTCGTGTATAAAATTAATAAACAGGTGTATAACTTTTATACACATGGGGTTTAAGTGTTTATAAACCTTTTTAAACGTAGATAATTCCGGGTTACGCTACTGCACACGCCTGTATTCTAATTATGGAAAATTATGGAATTCATAAATTAGAATATATACCGTTATGAAAATATTCGCAGAAAAGTGGCTATAACTTTTTAAATTTGAGCCCTTACCATCATATTTATAACAACCATTACCCAAACAAAAGATACTCAAAACATTTACTTTTTTTATTCTTTATGTGTAGATAATAAATTGTGTGCATATATCTTATTTTACCGTATATATAGGATTCTGCAAAAGTCTCACAACTGCTTCATTACAGCCGAACGAACGTCGTCGTATCAACTTGGGATTTTCGTAATTAACAACATTTTTAGTACTTTTACGTTCGTGACGTCATTATGTATGGAGCTATATCACTATTTTTTTCAAATAACAATTTTGTTTTTTGATAGTATCATTTAAAGAAATAGGTAAATTTTTTGCGTATGGGCCAAGTTTCGTATTATTTTGCATAACAATATTATCTATCTGCCGTATCTACTATAAAAAATGGGTTCTATCAAAAAAAAGGTATTGTTATTTGAAATTGTTGAGGACATACAAAAATTCACATCTAAAAAACAATATCGACCTATCTGAGCATTTTTAAATAGGAAACCTTTCTCTCCTTTTTTTTTTAATCCATCTAAATAGCGACAAAAACTGATTGCTCGTTTTCATTTATTTCTAAAAACTCGTGTTTCATTTACAATGAGGTGGTGAATTTATGAACGCCATATATGCATAAAAATAAATTTTATTTCTTATTCTAACTTAAATCTCTCTTGAAAATGTGATGTTACCTTTTCTTTTTTTCTAAAAAGAGCTTATTCATATTCTCCGAATATAGAAAGGAAATTCTCATTCGCCTTTATATACTTAAGTGCTATTGTCGAGGTATAGATCGCTTATTCTAGATGATTCCCTGAATCGTGGAAACTTCAGACTGAAGATAATAATACAGAGTGTCCTAGAATATATTATCTCCATTATTTTTATATCTGAATCAGATGAAGTTACCTACATATTTAGGGACCCTGTATAATTTCGTAAGCGCAGATGTTGACCTTTTTGCTTTATTTAATTAATATTATCCTCGAGTAGGTATATTGTTTGTTATTCGCATCACCTTTTGGGTTAATTTAATCTAAATTTAAGGTTTAAGAAGATGCTTGTGAATACAACAACATGAATAAGTGGTACAGAAGGCCTTATTTATGGAAGATTCCCCTTGACGGAGACTAAATAAAGTTTATCCTTATTAAAAAATCAAAAAAACAGAAATACATTCAGTAGATGAATTATTGAAGGCTTGAATTAAATAATATACTAAGTGCCAAACAATCGGTTTCTCATTTTATACTTGTAAAATGTTCTAGGCGCCATAACCAACAACATATACAGAGTGGAAAATCTAACTGGAACAAATTCTGTAACTTAATATATAAAGGTTTGTCGCAAAATTCGTGAAAAACATCAATTTTTATTTTCAATGGGACACATTACAAAAAGATTTGTTTATATTTTTAATTATCTGGGGGATTGCAGACACCCCCAACTTTTTTTTTAATGGAAGGGTAGGTTGATTAATTTTTTATTTGAAAGCTTTTTTAATTACAAATACAATCACATTTTTTTTTTGTTATTTTTGTTAAAAAGGTAAGTATGGAAGTGTTCAAGGGCTTTGACAATAGCTAATAGTTCTTTCCTGGTGACGCAATAATTCTTCTCAGCTTTTCCCAAGGTCTTGCTAAAGTATGCAATTGCTTTCTCTTCCCCCTCTTGTTCTTGGGATAGCACGGCGTCCACGCCGTGTTCGGATGCGTCGCAGTCCAAAATAAATTGTCCCTTTTCTCGAGGGTAGGCTAGGATGTGTGCCGTGGTCAATCGCTTTTTCAACTCGGTGAAGGCATTTTGGCAATCCGGCGTCCACTCAAATAGACTACTGTTTTCAGTTAGTCGATGAAGGGGTTTAGCAATTTGACCAAAGTCTTTAACGAATTTTCGGTAATATGAGCACAGTCCAAGAAAACTTCTAATTTCTCTTTTGTCTCTTGGTTTCGGCCAATCTCTGACAGCTGCAATTATCCACGGGTCAGTTTTGATTCCTTCTGCGGAAACGATTTGTCCCAAATAATAAATAGGCTTCCGACTGGAACACTGAACATTTATTGTGATTAAGCCTTAGATTGGCATTTCTTAATCTGTCAAATACTTCACTCAAATTTAGTAGATATTCATCAAAAGTTTTTGACATGATCATTATGTCATCGAGATATACTAGACAAGTTTTCCAGGTCAATCCTTTCAGAATAATTTCCATTAGACGTTCAAAGGTAGCTGGGGCATTACAGAGATCAAACGGGAGAACCTGGAATCTGTATAATACGCTGTCAGTTGAAAAAGCAGTTTTGTCTCGATCGTCAGGATATTCTTCCACTTGCCAGTATCCACTTTTTAAGTCTAGCGTGGAAAACCATTTCGCACCTGATAGAATGTTTAGTGTGCCGTCTATTCGGGGTAGTGGATAGCTGTCTTTCTTCGTTATCTGATTTAATCTTCTACAGTCTACACAGAAACGATTAGATTCGTCTTTCTTAGTTACTAGGACCACAGGTGAGCACCAGGAACCAGAAGCTTATTCAATATTATTCGCATCCATCATGTCCTGTATCATATTTGCTACTTCTTTATGTTTAGCAAATGGGTGTCTTCTAGGTGCTTGTCGTATTGGTCTTGTATCGCCTGCATAAATTCTATGCTGAACAAGACTAGTAGATTTTCCTGTCTTGAAAATGTCAGTTGTAATTGATGAATTCTTTGACTTTTTTAAGTTCTTCTGCTGTCAGATGGTCATAATTTTTAACTAGCTGTTTTACAAAGTTGGCGTCAACTGAGTTACTTGTGGTGGCTTTCCCAGTGGAACGGTCTTCGCACTTGATTATATTTTCCACCGGTGTACAGAGCCCTATTTCATATCTTTTCTTCAGTTTGAATGCTCTCCTCGATAAATTGGCAACCTTTACTTGGATTAGTTTATCAACGTTAACAAGACATCTAGCTTACCAGAATTCCGTCACAGATTCTTCACTTTCCACAATACCCACATGTGAGCCGTGTGACTTCTCGCTAAGTCTCGCCGAGACGACAGCTTCAGAATTTTGGGGTACTTTTACGTCTTCTTCTACTAGGACTTTCGAATTTAGGGCAATTTCCTCGTTTCCAATTACCAAGATCTTGTTTTGAAGGTCGATGATAAACTTATTTTACATAATGTCCATACCAAGGATACACTGATCTTTAATATCGGCCACCAGAAATAAGTGTTCTATCAGGGTATTACCAATCTGTACGGTTGCTGATATCTCGCCTAAAACAGGAGTAATGTGCCCTGTAGCTGTTTCCAGAACTAAGCTTCTTCGAGTTGGTCGTGGTTTTCGATGCAGGATGGCCTGTTCGAATGTAAGACTTAGTTGCAACAGTATCAAGGACGAAGGTGTCTTTTTGGTTATCGATATACCCCTTGACCAATAGATTTTATTCGTTTTTATTTAAGGTGTAAGTGCGAATTTTGGGGCACTCTGTTACAGCCGACGCCTGCCCCGTAATGTCAACCTTTAT